AATTTATAAAATTTAATATTATGCATCATACTAAATAAAGAAGTTTTAATATACTACTTAATTTTTTGAGTTTTTTAATTAGAAATCATATTTCTAAAGAAATAAATATTTTAAAATACAATTTAATAGTAATAAATTCAAATCATTTAAACTGTTATATAAATATTTAAAAATATTTAAATTATTAATAACATAATAGAGAATGTGATGACCTAGTAAATTGGTCAAGTTGTTAACAAATATCAGGTCTAGAGTTCAATTTTATAGATGATGAATTTTGGAAATTATATTTGTATTATAATAACTAACTTTGTTAACAGTTGGATTGTATGAATTTGTAATCTTTAGTTACACTATCTCAAATAAGAACTCAAAACATCTATGCAAAATGTAACATTACATATACATAGAGAAATGTTTAAATAGTATTGTATAAAACTTTAGTACAAACTTATAATAAAACTACTGGATACAAAAAATAAAAGAATTATAAAGTTGGAAGCCTACTTGGAAATCATGAATAAAGAGATAACACAAACTTTTAATAATGTTATCAGACTAATGAAAGTTCATAAAACATCTTTAATAGAATAAATAGATAAACTGAATAATAAGATATATAGAGAAGTATATGATCAACTAGGCTATCAGAATCGCCAAAGGAAAAAGATACTAAAATATATCATATAGATCATTTAAATTAGAAGTTTAAAGAACCTTGTTAGTTCTTAACTGTAATTAGTAAGAAATAATAGAAAAGATATTGAAAAGATAGATACTAAGGTTTGAATGAATTTTACAAAAATATAGCAGTTTAATAATTAATCTTGATTGCAAATAATAGTTTAAGCCAAAGTAATACCAAATTAATTATAAGTATAAAATACAAAAGGCTTTAGTAAGTTTAGTACAAAGTTAAATATGACTTAGTAATCATAACATATTTTCACTGGTTTACTGATATTGTTAGTAAAACATGATGAATATGAGATTAGAGTATTTAAATAAAGGATCTACAGATGAATCTTAGGTATAACAACTAGTGTAAAACCTTCAAACAAACTACTTAAATTAGACAATAACTAAAGTTGTATAAGTGATTAGTTGTACACTCTTTCTATAATTGTTTTTGTGTTTGTTATATCAACAAATGTTAGCCAATATATACTATCAATAAACTTCTAAGTTGCATATACTCACCTTAACATTAAAAAAAAAAAAAAAAATTAATAACATAATAAAAAAATACCACCTGTACTCTTAGTTGCTTATACAATAGAATTATTCAAAAAATAAACAAATAATAAATTTGATTAAAAACATTTATAAATATTATTAACTATAACTTAGGTGATCATCATTTCATTGCTATATCTCAAAAATGAAACTAAAAAACAGAAATCAGATATACCAAGTAAAAATGTTTAAAACCCACCAAAACCTTATAACCTAAATTTAGAGCTATTATATCTGGCCCCTGTCTTGGTCTTAAATTGCATTCTGCTCAAAAATAATATGATAATCACCTCAGGTTATTATAAATTATCTTTATTTATTAAATCAATATATTTATACTAAGCAATTTAAACCCTATATTCGTTAATAAAAAATGGTACTGTAATACAGTAATTGTTTATACAAAGAATCATCAAAATAATATACTGTACTGATGATTTAAATATCTAAAAACAACATATATTTACTAAACATTAGCACACATGAAAGATGGACATAAAAAACGTGAAATCATGAATAAATCAAGTATACACCCAAAATCGAGGAAATACTCTTGAAATTTTAATCAAAGATGAATATAAAGTTAAATGGTAAACGAAAATAAATTGTGATAGATTAATAATGATTATTAAAGTTTATAACTCTATATGGGACAGGGTAGACGATGAAGGTAATTCTAAAGTCTGTCTAAGGTCAGTGTGATCGATTTCTTTGCTATCATCAATATTCGATATTTTTTGATCATTTAAACCTTCAGCATTTGCCTTCACATCAATATCACCAAATTCGCCTTTAACTACAGCACCTTCAAACAAATAAATGTTAGGCTCCACAAATCGATAAGGCACAGGTTTTGAAGTGGGTTTAAGCTTTTTATGAACTAACTCCCATTCTAAGAGTCTGCAGAGTTCAGGTATGATGACGTCGCAATCACCAAGAAGCTGGACGTCAAACTGCATATGTGTTATGGGGGTTTTGTTGATTACGATCTGAGGAACACGATGAGGAATTTGCCCTGTTGAAAAAATTCAAAAGAATGTTAAAAAAACATGCGCAAATTATATCAAATTGAACAATTAAAGATCACAATGAAATTTAAGTATCATCGGTATATGTCCAAACTGCAGAAGTGATAAATAAAGTAGCTAATAAACGTACCCATTATTTCGCTAACTGGAGCCACTTTCAAGCTACTTCCCATTACAATTAACAGGTCAACTTTTTCGCGATCTTTGGGAAAGCATTGGTCAAATTCAGGGGGTAATTTCTCACCGAAGAAGACAATATCAGGCTTCATGATAGATAAACATTCTTCTATGTCTTCTCCCTTATACACCTTTTTACATTTGGGGCAACGAGGTACTCGTTGATGAAGTATATCATCTTTGATTTCACTGCCATCTACTTTGTATTCACATACTATACAACTAGCAGTTGCAAAAGATCCTACATAATGTGACATATATAATTGAATTTTAAACTAAATTAATAACATTGAAGGAGAATCTTAAATACGAATACCATGACATTGTAGGACGTTCTTAATTCCGGCAGCTTGTTCCAGGGTATCAATGTTTTGGGTGTAATTTCTTAAAAGCTTTCCTTTTTCTTCCAATAATTTAATAAAATAGTGTGAAGGAGATGGTGTGAAATTACTGGGGTATATTTCCTGTTAAGAATAAAAAAAGTTATATTGCCAAATACAATCAAACGTGTACATAATGAATCCAACTACTAAAATAAATAATACCTTGGCGAACGAATAAAAAACATCGGGACAATCTCTGAAGTAATTGATGTCAAACATATCTTGTGGGTCATCCAAGTCAAATTCTGATAGCCGAGAATAGATCCCGTTCTCGGAACGAAAGTCCGGTATTCCACATGACACGGAAACCTGATAAGTTCTATGCACATTAATTTCATATAAAGTTTATTATGTCTAGTTAGTAGTAAAAACAAAAATATAAAATCACAACCCACCCCTGCACCTGTCAAGACCATGATATTTTTTGAATTTCGTAATAATTCAACAACTTGTTCCAATGTATTAATATGTGGCAGTTTTTGCCGTTGCCTCAAGAATTTTGCAACAATCTTATGGAGAACCGGGAGTAATTGCATATCTGGGAGGACATTAATTCTTCTTGGCTATACAATGAAATCAAATAAATAAGCGAACAGAAGTAAAGCACCAAGACTAATGTAAATTTGGTATTTTACAACTAACCAATTTATAATCGAAAGCGTAAAATAACTTCTGAAGGGGAACATGTTTTTCAAGAAAGTACTCTTGAATGAACTTCTGAGTTCCTGAATTTACAAATGTGATGAAAACATAAATTGATGAGATTTAACATGCATAAATTTGACGGTTGATGAAGAAAAACTTATGAATAATGAATAATACCTTTTTCTTTAGCTTCTTGTCTTAAATGCTCGCATTCATCATCATCCAAACATGGAAGATCTTTCAGAATCAAGTATAACTTGTGTAAAAGATTATATTATGAGAAAAATCCAGACATAAACACGGTAAAAAATGTACTTTGATCTTCCTCGTCTAGTAATTGTTGTTGTTGTTGTTCTTCTTCTTCTTCTTCTTCCACAATTTTGTCGTTGACATGATTTAGATGGTCAATAATATCTTCGATAGAAGAAGTTTCATCACTGCTGTCATTGACATGGTCACCCTCGTTCCAATCTTCATCGTCTTCGTCATCGTCTTCTTCAACAAAAATGCGCTGTTTTGCAGTTACATCTTCGTCTGAATTGTCGGCAGATTCTATGCGAGGACTTCCATTAGACTCTTTAACAACCCCGGACTGCGACGTAATCGACCTAACTGGTGTTATAGATGAAATCGGGTATGTATGTGAAGGGGAAGGGTGTGAGAAATAGACGGGGGAAAACTGGGCCTCATGATCTGATTCGCCCACACGAATCCGTTTGGGGGAACTAAGCCCGGCAACTTGATCTGAATTTTCTTCACGTCTTCTAGTCAACATATGTTTACTGAATCACTCTCAAAGCATATACTTTAAGTCTATTGAGACCTTATTTTTTTTTTTTTTTGAACAGCTTAAAGACGACGGCAAGAACGAAATTGTCACGAAGGTAGACTTGTCAAAGGGCAATGAGCTAATTAAAGATGGAAATAGATTACAATTTTTGATGTCAGTAAAGATTTGTTTATGTTAGAGTTAATGTGGGTTCCTTTCTTTCGTTTTATTGTATCAGGTATGACAAGGATAGAATTTGCATTCACAGATTCTACGGTTTCCTATTGGTCATCTATGGCTTTCGTTATTAATACGTACTATTAATACTATCGCTATTAATACAATTAATACATGAATTTGTCACGTGCTCTACTATTATTCAATATTATTAATACAATAGGAAACAGTATTTGTGTTAAATTAAATAATCTATCGTTATGGTTTAATATAATCAAACTACAATTAAAAAACCTTAGAAGTTAACAATCCTGAATCCCCAATCTTTTTTAATAATGATTAAATTTTATTTCCTGATTGTTAACAGGAATCACTTACAAAAGAACAAGAGAAAAATCATATACAGGACGTATGTTATTTTTGTTAGTTAATTACGTAATTATTTACCGTTACGAAATAAGAATGACATTGATCCCTGCAGTATATCCATATGATGCCACTGCAACGTCACATCTATTCGATCATATAAATCGTTGTACATTCGTACCGGTACGTACTAAAAATTCCCAGTAACACGCTCTACCAATGTCAGACCTAGAAGATATCGACCCTTTTTCAGATTCTCTTCATTTTTCAGGCACTCTTCCTTATTCTATAAATGATTCTGACGATAGTTTTGAAAAGGAGGAAGAACAACAGCTTATTTCAATAAACTTGAACTACCAGCCAGAGATTAAAACACAATTTTGCTGTCAAATTGACAGGGACATTCACCAAGGCGATTTTACCATTCGAATTACTAGTGCACAAAAGACAACTGATAACAATGGGAGCTCTTTTATTACATATACTATAAAAGCTGGGGTAAGTGATCAAATTGTTATTTTTATTACTGAATTTAGCCTCCTTTAATAATTGTATACTTTCTTAATGTCTGAATAGGATCAAGAAGTTAGGAGGCGTTATTCGGAATTCGAATCATTGAGGAAATCATTAATGCGTTTGTACCCAACCTTAATCGTTCCGCCAATTCCGGAAAAGCATTCAATCGGTGATCCATCAAGCTACCTAGTCCATCCTTTTCCTATATGATGGAAAGGCGGCAAGATATTTTTTTTCCGTTTCTTGCCTAATGTTATCGGTTTACATTAAACATAGATCAACCTTTGTCAATTTATTTTTGACTTATAATGTGACTTCGAATAGCTGATTATGCGACCATGCAAAGCAAGGCCAAAGAGGATATCACAATGATTGAGAAACGCAAAAGAATGCTACAGAGCTTCTTAAACCGCGTATCAAAACACCCACAGTTGTCGGGAGAACATATATTTCACAAGTTTATGGAAACAAATGTTTCCTGGGTGAGTCGCAATTTCGCAATAATAATTTTGTTTGCGAAAATTTAATATACCTAATAATTTATTATAACTTTCTAGAATGAAGTACTTCACTCATATCCACTCTCTACTCTTCCAAAAAACATTCTTCAAGCATCACCAGCAAATCTTTCATCTCCATCTAATGTTTCCCCTATAAATTCGTCTGCCCCTCCAACACTCCTTACTCCAAGTGCATCACAACAATTGAAGAACCCTGATCCCAAGTTTTTTGAATCCGAAGATTTTACAAAAAAATTTTCACATCACATTGGTCAAAATATGGAAAAGACGAATAAAAGGATTTGGAAACGTTTGGGTGGTGCGGTTTTATCTTTTCCATTAATTTTGTATGATCTCTTTGAACTGAATTTACAATATTTCTATATTTTGTATTCAAATCTTAAATTCAACCCTGATTTTTTTCATATAATACACGAATAGATTTTTCCAACGATTATGCTGAATTAGGGGCAATTTACAACGGTTTTAGTTTAAATGAAAGTGGCGACTTAGCAAATGCCATTGAAAAAGTAGGACAAGCTGTAGATTCCACTTATGTGGCTACGGGAAAACTGGTAAATTAGTATTTATGTTTAAATTTATTTAAATTCTTAATAACCTTAATTTCGGTTACAAGACTGCAGCACTTGAAGCCGAATTCACCGAACCATTACAAGAGTATTCCCAATTCGCGTCAGTGATCAAGCAAGTTTTAAATTATAGACACATGAAACATTTGCAAATGGAGCTTATTGCTGACACGCTTGAGAAACAAAAAGTTGCACTTGATGGGTTAGAAAAATCTGAAGTTGAAGCTAAAAGAATAGAAGAAGTTTTGAGTAATGAACATGTCAATCCAGCCTCGATATTTCAAACAAATGAAGATAACTCCGAAAATGACCATTATGAAGAACTATTCCAAAATGGCGATGTTTTACCACCTACTGGAAGTGGACATAAAAAACTCAGCGGTTCGAAGATCTTTTCCGTATTAAGTCATACTATTCATGGCATAATGGACGTGGATCCGGAAGCTGCTCGTAGAAATAGCATTGGCAAAACTCGTGAATCAATTATTCAGGTTAATATTTATTACGTAATATTGATGTTTATTTATGTTAAGCTTAAACAATTATTCAATTTTAGTTAGAAGAAGCTTTGGAAACTACGACTGAAGATCTAAAGAAAATATCTGTATCTATTCAAGATGACCTTGACCGCTTTCAGCGACAAAAGGTTGTGGATTTGAGAGATATGCTAATCTCCTATGCAAAAAATCATGTTAAGTGGTGTAAAGAGGTTGTTATTACTTTACTATATCATATAAAATGAAAATATAAAATGAAAATTTTAATTAAAGGTTTGTTTTATTTTACATTAATATAAGAATTTAAGTAACTGGGAAGAAGCGAAGGCCGAAGTTGAAAAAGTTCAGACGTAATCCACCGAGTAAAACATCAATAACAAATGACTTGTACATTTTTACTACTTGGGAACACCCATAGCAAAAGGGAGGATGTGACTATATAATATATAGTCCCATCCCCCCTTTTGCTGTGGGTGTCCCCATTTATTATTATTGTAGCAAGCGTTATTTGCGCAATCTATGATATCAAATTTTTGGTATACTATTGGCATTGACTCAAAAAAAAAGATTATCTTATTTGAAATAATGGAAACCAAAACTTATCGCAAGGCATTTTTCTTTGTCATTTGCGATTAATGTATGTCTACTTCTTAGTTTAAGCTATAAAGAAAATAGATTAAGTCTTTCTGTTTCCATGAAATATAAACAAAATAAAGTTTTTGCTGTACAACCGCAAAGGGGAGTTCCTTAAAGCGGGGCAGATCAATCAAGCTGACAGTCTAGGGTCATGCAAGTCAATTGACTTCATGATTATTGACCAATCAAAGTTTGAACACATGACCAGTTAAAATCACGTTGCATATTGAGGGACTTGGAAAATTATAATATGACAGGGTGAAACCTGATGCAGATCTTTACTTTTATTAAAGTCAGGGTTAGAAAAGTACTATATTATAAAAATATCGATTTATATATACCCTCTGATCTACCAATTATAAATGCAGATTAAATATAACGTGATCACGATTTTTAAATCGGACATTGATTTAAAGGTAGGGGGTACTATATTAAAATTATATATAAACTTAATTGTAAATTTTTTTTTTATATTTAATTTATAAAAAAAATTATACTAAATAAATTAATATTAATTTATAAAAAAAGCATTTCAAATTCTTTACTACTTATCTTTAATAATTAACCAATTACATCTTACAAATCTAATAAAACAATTAGATATTTAAAAATTTTTCTTGATGAAAAAGACTTAATTAAACTCATATTTGATAAAATCTTTAACAAAATCTCTCAATTTATTCATATTATTCAATATAAAAAAAATTTTTTTATACAAATTTTATGATTATTTAATATTATTCTATTATTATCTTTAGAGTACTTGTTTCAAATTTGTTTTTTTTCTCAAAACAAATTTCAATAACTATTAAACATATTAATAAAATATATTAAATACATATTTCATCTATCTATAAACACAAATAATGACATTCTTATTAATTACAATTACTTAATATTCTAATACTCAACAAATTTATATTATAAATTGGTAACAATAATATAGAAAGATATTTTAATACCAACATACTTCTAAATCAAATTTCTATATATCAAACTAAAGAATGACTTTTTTAAAATATAGAAACCATTTCTATCTCAAAATACAATACTTAAAAATTATAGAAAAACCTTTAATTTTACTATAATATTATAACTATTTTATTTTTATAAAAATAATATCTTTCTTAACAACTTATTATTTTATTAATTAATAATCTATAAACAAACTAATTAACTAAATAATATTTACAATTTCATTTCATTTCCAAATAATCTAACAATACTAAGTTTAAAAAATAATAAAATTTTTTTTCTCAAACAATTATTTATAGCTAATAATCATAATCTATTTTTTTGAAAAAATATTTATCTTAGAATTTATAAATTTCTTCAAGATCCTACTTCAAACTAGTTCAAAATACTTTTAAATAAAAAATCTTTTTTTATTATTTAATATATATAATTTAATTTGCAACTTAAATTGATCAATCCATTTCTAAATATATTTAATCTAATTATACTTTAATATAACAATCTTAAAAATACATGGACACTTTACCTTTTATCTAAAAACTGACATATTGGTAAAATAATAAATATACTTAATTCCAAAATAGTTTTTTAAAAATATCAAATTATTACAACAACATTTAACACAATTTATATTTCTTTAATACTTATAAATTTTCAACTAAATTATAAACAAACTATCAATTTTGAATGCAAAATATAAAAAAAAAAATACTATTTTGAACTTAATATTAATATTCAAAAAATTTAAATACTTCAAAACATATATACAGAATTATATAAACCAGTTCTGCAAAGTCTTTTTATATTCTCATTATTTTTTTTAGAAATTTTCTTAATCTAAAATATAATATCTAATTCTATATACCAAAATCAACTTATAGTTCTATACAAAAAAATACTACAAATTAATTCAAACAATCTCTATTTTTATACTGATATCTTAATAATTAATTCACAAATACATAGCATTTCTACTGATATTACTTGAATACTTAAAAATGATATACAAATCAAATTTAATACATCTATATCTTATGCATCAAACTCTATAAGAGCAGGATTAGTAACTCTTATTTTTTTATTTCTTGTCCTATCTTTTAAATACCAAATTCATATTCATCTTGATAGTTTATTTATTATTCAAACTTTTATATACTCAATATCCTACAACTACAATTCACAAACTAAATAAAATAATTAAAACAATATTTATATTTTAAACTTCTTAATTAAATACAAAAATATCAATTACATCACATACAAAGTTAAATCTTATTCAAATAATATATTATATAATATAACTAATACTTCAGCTAAATATGAAGTTAACAAAACTAAGTTTGAACTTAATCTTAACTACTTTTATTTTTCTTTATTCTTTACTTGAAATCAAATCCTAATTACATACAAATTATGTAAATTTTGTAAAAATGTATTATCAATTTAAATATTCAACAAACTCTTTTTATTCAAACCATTAAGGAACCTTTCTATTGTAAATATCCAACTACTAACTAAGATTATTAATTTTCAAAACTCCAATCTAAATTTATACTTCCTTAGAAACAAAATACTATTTAATAACTTACTAATAATATTTAATTTAAATACTCACTATTTTACTTTTTATCTAACTCTGAACTGCTTATTTTGTAACCAATATGAAAATACTGAACACTTACTGAAATGTTTCTTTTATTCACACAATTCAGATATTATTCTTATCAACAAAATAACAAATACTTTAAATTCTCTAAACTTATTAGAAACATCACTATATACAATAATACAAATTCTAAATAACTTTTTTTCAAATCATAATATAAATAACTTACTGCTATTATTCATTTAGAATACATTAATTCTAGATTATTACAAATAACTACAGCTTATTCTAAAAAAATCAACTAATAACTTTCTTATCATATTATCAAACTTAATATTTAGTTGGTTCAACTCTACCATCTGGCAAACACAAAATGTTAAACAATATAAGTAAAAGTTAGTATAAAAAATTACAGTCTCAACAAAAAGGAAAAATAATATTTATTTACTTATTTCAAAACCAACAAACTCTAATAACATTATTTTTATCTCCAATACTAATATAGATTCTTTTATTATTAAACTTTTTTCTTAAAATTTCACTATATATACTTAGTTTTATTAAACCAACAATTCTAAAGAGTTTTCTATTCCTTCTATAGTTAAATTTTAACAATAGTTAACTTAACTAATAACAGAAAATAAGAGAATAATATTACACTAGAGATAGTTAGATATATATAGCAACAATAGTGTAGTTTAGAAATAATCTTTTAGTTATACATTATATCTAATTAGTATATTTATATATTATTATTTTTCTATTTAATATTATATTAATAAAATAAAATAAAAAAAATTTATAAAAAAAGAAACACAAATTGCCAATTCTTTTCAATGATCAATTATACTAAAATTTTGTTAAAGAAAATTTTAATTTTCTTTAATAATTTATAATTAAATATATTCTTAAAACTAAATAAAATTGTTCTTTTTTTAAATTTATATATTCTTATAAAATTTTATATTAATAACTTAAATATTAAATAAATTAACTAATTTTTTGTAATGTGATGACCTAGTGAAGTGATTAGGTTATCAACTCTTCAAGTAATAGATTGGATATTCAAATCTTATCGATAGTAAAAATTTGAATAATTATCTATATAATATTCATATTATGGTAATTGTTACTAATAATTAGATTAGGATATTTGTAATAGCAGTTGCAACAGCATGATTGGCAGGTTATAGAGTATTTGTGTAAATATGGCATTATACAGAGAAATGCAAACTGACAAATTGGGTAATGCAAATATTAGATAAGTCTTTGTGACTATATAAATCTGTTAAAATTAGATAACAAGAAGTCTATTTAAGAAGACCCAAATAGAGAAATAGCTAGATCTTTAACAGTCTTACTATAAAGACTAGTTTGAAAAAATGAATACCAAGATTGTAATATCCAGTTGTAGTAGTCAGATAGGCAAGAACTACTAAGTTAGGTGTCTTAGAGATATTACCAACCAGGCCACTAGAATGAACTAAAGGAAAAGGATATTGAACTAACCTAATATACCAATAGACTAATTATAGTTCTATACAGTTTATCTTAATTGGAAGTTTGGTAAAAAAGTAGGTGAAAAGGCAGAAGTATACTAAAGTACCAAGTTATGCTATAAAGTAGATGTTAGGATCTAAGTAATCTCTATAAGAGCATAGTAGTTTAATGGTTAAGTTCTGATTGCAAGTGTTGTTTCTGCTATAATAATATCAATTGTAAAAATAGGTACAGAAGGCTCTAAGAGGTTTACCTTAAAGATAAAATAGTCCTAAGGCTAAGATGATAATCTGAGCATCAGATATGACTTAGTGAAGTTAACAGGTTTGCAGGTTTAGAGGATTTAAAGTGAAATATTCAAGCAAAGATGTTAGGTATGCCAATTAGTAGGAAACCTTCAGACAGACTTCTTAAATAGGTAATATAGAAAAGTTATACATGTAGCCAATTGTTGCTCTTTTTGTAATAATTTATTGAACCATATTTACTATTATTAAATAAAGTCAAAAGATCCAAGAGGTCATCTTAATATCAAAAAAAAAAACTAATTTTCTATAAAAACAACCTCATGATCAGACATTTATTTGATTGGCTAATATAAATCAATTGCATAGGTAACTTATTTATACACTTTAAA